AAAGTTAAAGCACAAATTCAAAGGAGCAGGGAAGAAACGATTGTTTTTGTTTTTGAAAAGTATTTATGTACACGCACACAGTATGTGCGTACATGTAACTACCCATCGAAGAAATGATTGTCATTATTAAAACGTCATTCACAAATTATATGATTTACTGATTTCATGTGAATGCTAGTAGCATGTTTATTTTATTAAAGTTTTGATTTTATATAAATCGGATTAGTCCAAATAATCAAAAATAATTACTCTATATAATTATATTATATTATATTATATTATATATATTCTTAATCGACTAAAAATACAAAAACTTTAATTAAAATTAGAAAATTATTAATTATACAGTTTATGGTACATATTTATTATTTTATATTAAAAAATATAATAAGGAAAAGATTTAGATATATAGATTCAATCAATAAAAATCTACATGAAATATTGCATTAATAATTTTATTTGTTCTAATAACAAATTAATGCTATCTTAAAACTTAGAATATGCGTTTTCAAATAATGATGCATAACAAATAAAGAAGTTTTTTCGCGCATTGAGTCAGTGTAACACGCCAAAGTATGGTGAGGTATAAAATAAAATAAACCCATTAAGGATATAAACGCTATTCAAGTTATCAAAATTTTATCATCATGTCCCATAATTTCCAACACCTGAACATCGGACCCATTTGAAATCTCGTACGGAAAAGTCGAAAGTTTCGGTAGATGAACCATGTGTTGTCCAAAATATATTCGTCCCTAATTTTTATGAAAATGATCATCAATTTTACCTGGATAAAAACAATAATTTATTAACGATAGATACCTTATTCCTTCGATATGTTGCCAAGGTGGCGTAAGGTTCCTTAGTCTTCTCGCCCGTTTCATGATTTATACAGATCATATGACATCTTCGACATGAACCTATTAGCTAATTTATGCCAGTTCGACGAGGATCAAAAATGACGCTATGGATGAAATACCATGCAGAAAATTTTAAAAATAATCTTACCTTAAACACCTGTCCACCAATCTTGATCACCTTCCACTGATCTTCTTCATACTCACTGATATTTCCGTTAACCACAAAGTTTGCCCTAAAACAATCCGCCACAATCCTTTCGGCTTCCCCCCCTTTCTCATTTTCTTTATATGAATGCTCTTCATAATTAACACAATTATTGGTCCCCTTATTATGACCATCGCATCCCATTATTTTTTGATTGACATGTTCAACGCTCTTCTGAGAGACCAATAGAAATGGAGATTCGTTTGAATACGAAAGTGGAGAATCTGTAGGTGTATTGAATAAATGTGGTTTTATGAATCTACGGTTGCGGCTATTGATAGAAGGATTCATCAAAGGTGGCTGTCGAGCCAGTACACATGAAATTCCGAGAAATCTAGTGAACCATTGAGTGATATGATCGGAAGTGTAAACTAATGTTTGGATACTTTTGTGTTCAGAAAGTTGTTAAACAAAGGTTTGAAATTATCAGATGAATTCTTAAGTTGGAACACTATTAAGGCTCGGGATTAATGATAAACAAAGGGATACAAAACTTGTCGCCGCAAACTTGCGAAGAGCATTTAGAGGACGCGGTCTCATTTGGATATTCATTGAGTTTAATGTGTAGTGATTCTTGACCTTTTCGGAGAATAAGACCAATCAATTAAATGCAAAGTGCCAAACTGTTTAATAATATCAATTTTACCTGGTGCCACAATAACCAATAGCTCCTTTCCCCTAAATATCATTGGCCGTATCAATGCCATCCTCGGATACCTAAACATATAATTCCAATCATCCTACAAGTATTAAAAAACAATGAGCCAACTCGAAAATATGTTCCTCACATTTTTTGGCTCAACGCCCTTCCAGTCTCAGAATCTATCAGCATCCATTCTCGATCATATAGTAAACCCTGGTTTGTAATCGTCCAGGATGTCGATGATGGTATTATGTACCCGTGACATGACTTGATAGGATCTGTCGAAGAGAATAAACACGTGTATAACTTGAAAGTCTCATCAAGTGCGTATAAAGAAAAAACAAATGTCCATTTCTTTCATACATAATGTCAATTTCTCGAGAAATATCCGTGATTCAATGGGTTTGGTTAAACTTTGAACATGCGCACTCTGAGGCATATAGTTGGAGGGTGTTTCTTCGACATAGTATTTCTTGAAGAAATTTAGCCAAGTAATAATATCTTCAATGGTTGACATGGCGCCCAATGAGATGCGAATTGAACCAGTTGGTCTACCATCGAATATGTCCTTGTCGTCGCCGCACACCTTACCAGCCTTACGGGAAAGAAATATCGTACTTCAGGGATTATGTTAATCACAGAAATCATGTTTATTAACAGAAGATACCTTATAATTAGATATGGAATCATCACCGGATATATTTATCCATCTAGACACACTTCCAGGATTACAATGAGTTCCCGCACTTATGTAAATCTGATTAACACTCGCTAGCTCTTCTAACTCAACAAATCCTACCCAGGATTTGTCCGCACGTCTCACATTAAAATTGAGAACCGGTCCTTGTCTGGTGTTATCGGAAAAATCCCTATCCGAATAGATAACGCACGCGGGCAAATCATTCCAATGATGAAAAGACTTCATCTTTCTATAAAGGTAAGTTATTAGAGAAGTCACATGCTGCTTGATCAATCCGAAATTTGCGTATATTCGCTCCATCGTGTTGAATGAGTGTTCAAGAGCGATAATGTCCAGAAAATTTATCGTACCGTCTTCATACCGGTCGCTTAGATTCTCTTTAAATTCTTGCCATTGTCTGTCATAAGCAATAGCGTTTACTAATAAATATGCATAGATATATAAAATGGCTATTTATATTATGCTTAAAAAAGGCACTTGGAGAAGCCAACCCGAAACGTAACATACTTGTTCCACCACCAAAGTAGCGCTTCCTCAATATCGGCTCCAGTTCGGATTTTATCAGCAAGGCACCTAACCCAGTAGGAAAACCGAATATCTTATAAAAACTCATTGCTACGAAATCCGGAGACACATCACCATTGGCCAAAGACAGGGTTGAGGTTGTCAGATAAGCGGCTGCATCCAATAAAACCAAAAATTTCGCTTTTTTCGTTTTAAGTTTCTTGATTCGTGTGGTCCACGTTAAAGGATACCGCTGACCAGAAAAATTGCATTGTGCCGGATAAGCGAAAAGATTGTATGTTACATCATCACCACCGTTCATCTCTTGATTCAGAAAACTTTCTGGATATTTATTGTGCAGAAATAGTGCTTCCAAGTCACTTTCAATTACAGCTTGAATATCAGAATTGGTTTCCTCCGCGAATCTTCTGAGTCCTATTAAGCTATTGTGTGACTCTCTTAAATATTTATAGCTGCTTCGACCTGGAGTCCATGGGAATATTTCACCGACCAATTTGATAGCAGCGGTAGCGTTCTGAGTAAATATAACTTTGTACTCTCTGGGGTTCGCATCAAAATGTTTCAAAATTCGAGCCCTAACTTGTTCCACTCGTTGAGAAGTATGCTGGGCACGTATGTTTCTTGAGTGCGGATTACAATAAATATTCTTCGTAAGGTCGTTTGTAAAAGAGACGACTGAACTTTTCGGATAAACGGTCGACCCAGAATGGTCGAGATATGCGGCTCCTTATGAAAATAATAAGTTTCCTTGATGGCTTATATTATTAAACCAAAAATATTTGTAGAGAAACTCAATTTACCTTTCAGTTCCGAATATTCATCCTCTCGTATCGAATCAATTTTACCATTATATCCGTACGCGGAGGAAAATTCATCAAGAAATTCTTTTTCGTTGGAGTTTTCAAAAGAAGAGGTAGTCTTGGGATTCATCGAATTCTAACGTTTGTATTACAAATTCTGACACTGCATTAAATAAAACCGGCAGGATTACATCATACAGAAGTGCCGACCGCACGTGGCATTCTATTTTTCCGATATATACATTTTTCAACACGGTATACCGTATAATTTTCTACAAAATAGTCAGTTATATAATTATATTAACTATATACATAATTGAACTTATTAACTATATAACTAATGTAACTTTTTGCTATTTAAGAATTTATTGATCTTTAAAAAATAGGAGTCTGTACAGACTCCAAATATCCCATTTAGGTCGGACTAATAACTACCCTGAAAATGACGTGTGGTTTGGATTTGCCTCGTCATTCGAGTGACGTGCGTTTTGCATTTGCCTCGTCAAAGATGGGACGTTTATAGTCCGCTTATCAGGTGACGCGTAAATTACATTTGTATCGTCATCCGAGAGCCATCAAAAATACTGTATATGGGTGGCTTGACGTTCGATTTCTGTTTTTCACGTCACTCGAATGACGACTGTGGTTAATTTTTTGTCGTCAGGTCACATGCCAACTATTGTACGTAGTGCCTTGGCTTTTTAGTTAATTCCTCGATGAGGGCCAGAGTTGAGGCACGTAGTGCCAAAATAATATTCATATTCTAGCTT